TTCTGTCAGTGGCTTTGAAAAAGAGGGACACAATAGTAAGTTTCATATACTATGTATTTATAGAAATGGCATATTTCTGAAGAAAAATAAAATTATAGTAAAATATGAATTGGATTCCTATTTCACACTATATACACAACCAAATTCATATTGATTAAAAAATTTGGTATAAAATAAAAGTTATAAATGCTCAGTGAAAAATATAGGATAATATCTTTTAGATCTTGAACCTGGAAGATATTTTCTTTAATGGAACATAAAATGTATTAACCAGTAAAGCTTGAGAAATATAAGAATGTTCATTCATCGAGACTCCTCGGAGTGAAAAGACAAATTACAAACTCAAAGAAAATACAATTCATATAACTAAGAAATGATTAGTTAGTTAAACAAAGATAAAAATACAAATAAATGAAAAACATTTACAAATCAACAAGGAGAATGCACCCACACATACATGCTGGAGACCAGCTCCAGCCGGGTTCAGGGTACCCCAAAGGTGGAGACGGCGTTGGCGATTGGGAGGAAGAAGAAAGAGAAAGAGAGAGAGAGAGAGAGAGAGAAAGGAAGAGACTGGACTCTGTTCTAATGCAGAAGCGATGTATGTTATTGGGAATTACAACGGGTCTTTTATACACAAAGTCAGATGTGGGAGGGGCGTCCCCCACCCACCAGAAACCTTAATCCATGAAAACTTAATCAATGATTGCCTTTAAACCCTTTTCATGATAATCTTAAAATCCCATAACAAAGGATAACCTAATCCGTGACTGATATATTCTATAAACCTTTTTCATCCTAAGCTGATTGATTTATACCAAGTTAAACAATTCTATAGAAGCTTAAGTATTTACTTTACAAATGAAAGTGGCCCATCCCAGAATGTTTGGAATGTGGCCCAGTCCAAAGTTCACAGTGGGCTACCTGCAAGTAACCCAGCCGCATTCTTTCAACAACATGGCTGTCTTCTAAAACTATATTCTACAATTTACACCTTCAATAAATCCTAAGATCATGACCCAGAAGCCTGTGACCAATACTAAGGCTCTTAGACGTGACACAAGTTTGAATTATAAGTTGTGTGAAAGCCAAAACTGCAGTTTGCAGAAGAATGGGAGCAATGAGCTTCTAAAGTTAGCTTGTGTTCGTACCGGTCTCAGAGTTTTTATGTTTTGAGCTCACAGGAGCTTAATCTGGTTAGTGCTGAGTAGAAAGGGGGAGGAAATGGGGTCAAATAGCTCCCGAACGCATCCTAGTGGTCTCAGGGTCAACGGCCCTTCCTGATCCCTAACGCTCAGTGGGCCTCCATGGCTGGCTCCCAACACATACACATACAAACAAAATCTGGACAAAGCATTAAAAAATAAGAGTTTCACAGAAAAGAAACATGTATGGCTAATAAACACATGAAGAGGAGTTCAGTGTTGTTAGGGATCAGTATCATCAAACAGAAACCACAGTGAGAGAACAATTCTGACATTACCAATTGTTGAAGAGGATGTGCATCCATAACATCTTGTGTACATCGCACGTGGAAGCAGATTACTGCAGCTGCTGGGAAAAACTGTTTGGCATGACCTCCTACTAGTTATTAATCACATAACTTATTTTCCAGCAATTTCACTTCTAGCTATATACCTAAACAACCTCTAGAATATATACAATAGAAGACATATACAAGAATGCATATCAGTCCTTGTCCACAGTGTCTTAGTGACATAGAATTAAGTGGAAAAAAAAGTACCTGAGAATTGCATGTATGATACCTAAACATGATTCATGCATTATATTTTTATAAATTTGAAAATAATTAAAAATAAACACCTTTATAAAAACAGGTAAATATTAAAACTATAAAAAAGGACTGATCAACTCAAGATGCAGGGTGGTCACTACCTCTGGAGTGGAAGGGGAGGTGGAAGAATGGACAGATGAAGAGATTATATAATTAGCTGCCAAACATAATATCTGTTTCTGCTGGCGGTTTCACTGGTGCTTAGTAAATATATAAAAACAGACTATGCATGAGCAAGATGAGAGAGTGTCACAAACCAAGGATTATGCTCATTCCAATTCTGTGCACACAAGATCCTTTTTAAAAATAGAGAAATTCCTTTGAGAACAGACTAGGCTAAGATATCAAACTGAAATCATTTCAGTTCAAATAGCAAAAGCCTCCACCCACCAGCTCTGATTGAGGTTATTTGTAGAAGGATCTTTATTTGTATTAGCATTACTTACAGAAGAGAAATTGCAAACAACTTAACGATCCATCAACAGAGAAATGGCTTAAGACATCAATCTACATTTATACGCTTTCATTAACTCATTCCATCAACACATTGACTGAGAATCCACAATTTGTCAGGCACTCTGGGATATAATCATGAAGAAAAGTGATCCAGGTCCTGCTCTCATGCAGTTTCACAATCTGGTAGGGAAGACAGGCAGTGATCAAAGAATCACACATATAGATGTATGCTAGAAACAGGTGAAGGAAGGAACACAGGGCTATAAAAGAGACTTATCTTGATGCATTTAGTCAAGACTTCCTGAGGAAAAGAAACATTTAACAGAGGTCTGAAATAGAAATTAACCAGGCAAAAAGGAAACAAGAGGAAAGGCTGTTGGGCACAAGGAAGACAGCATGGACCCTGTGGCAGAAGGGAGCTCCGGCTGTCAGGGAGATGAAAGGCCAAGGTGGTTGGAAGCAGAACAAGGGAGACATGGGAGTGAGAAGGGGCTGGAAAGGTAGGCAAATGACACATCATAGTGGAAAATGAGGCTGATTTTGATCTTTAAAGAGCAATGCGAAGAAGAGATTTAAGCAGAAAAGCAGAGGTTGGGCGCAGTGACTCATGTCTGTAATCCTAGTACTTTGAGAGGCCAACACAGGAGGATTGCTAGAGCCCAGGAGTTCAAGACCAGCTTAAGCAACATAGCAAGACTTCACCACTACAAAAAAAGAAAATCACAAAATTAGCTGGGTATGATGGGGTGCTTCTGTAGTCCCAACTAGCCAGGAGACTGAGGACGATCGCCTGAGCCCAGAAGGTTGAGGCTGTGGTGAGCCATGATCATGCCACTCCACTCCAGCCTGGGTGACAAAGTGAAACCCTGACACACACAGAAAAGGCAGCAAAGCAACTACATCAGATTTTCATTGGAAAATCATCTGCAGCCATGTGGAGAATGGATGGTCTGGGGCATGTACATGATGAAAGCCAATATCACTTGAGCATCATTCTGGTTCCAGGGTGCAATGGGGTCAATGGTAGATGGAGAAACAGTGGGAGGCTACCTCAGTAGTACAGACAAAAGGCAAAGGCAGCTGAGGATGATGGCAGTGGAACTGCAAAGAGGTGACGAATTTGAGAGTTCTTTAGGTGTTGAAATGGGAAACACTAAGGCAGAAAAAATATGGACAGAGAGAAGGCACCTAGGATGACTTGTAGATGTCTGGCTTATAGGATGGATGGAACATTGGAAGATGAGCTATGTGGGGCTTGGGGGTGATGAGTTCAGTTTGGGAATGACCTAGCTTAAGGTGGCCCAGGATACATAATGGAGATGCCATGAAGTCATCAGGCAAGTAGGCTTAGAGAAGAGTCTGACTTGGAGATACAAATTTCAGAGACATTATGCAACTGTTAAAAATGAATGAGGTTCATCACCAAAGGTGCCTGCATAATCAACATTTATATACCTAACCCTCATCTTTATAATAAAAAAATTAAGAAAAAAAAAATGAATGAGATTGCGCCATGTGTACTGACATGTAAGAATGTCTGCGATCTACAGGCAAATACACATTTTAAAAAAGCAAGCTATAGAACAATTTGTATCCCTAATAACTCTTTTTAAAACTATGGAAAAATGCTTAATCATCTGACCTACAAGAGAAATACATGCACGAGTGCACGTGCACACACACACACACACACACACACACACACACACGCACACACGTGCACACAATAGACTGAAAAAATATATTAAACTATGAACCTATCTCTGTGATTTGGTAAATTTTGGATGAGAATAAAGGAATGAAGGACTTCCACTTTTTAGTTTATAAACTTCTACATTGTTGGTTCTTGTTTCTCCCCCTTCACTCCATCCCTAACTCCTACCTCATCCTGAATCCCCAACCAGTGGCAGAAGTTGGCAAGAACATGAGATGGAAAGAGGAAAGATAATGTCAGTTTTACACATTATTTGAAACTTAAAAAGGAGTAACTTGGTGTTTCCTTTTAAGCTGCATCAAAACAGCAGTATCAAAATGTTCACTGGTAAAATGCCATTTCTGCTCCTGAAGACTTATAATTGACTTGGCAGAGCAGCAAGTTGATTAAGATGATTGTCAGAGCATGAAGTCTGCAGGCACATTGTTCCCTGCACTCTCCTGAGAGTCAGTCATTCAGTGTGCTTCAAGCATTGCAAAGTTTCATGTAATATCCAAGAACACCCCATACTAATCAAGGAATGTTGAGGACTTCTCCATTGTGGAGAACACGGAATCAGGAACTTGAGTTGATTGAACATACATGAACAAAAGGAAATTAATATAAATAGGAGGATTAGGTGGCTTTCCATAATAACCTGCATAGTTTATGCTAGATTTTTCTTAAGTTACTTAGCATAATCACCCAACACAGTGCCAGCCCATGCATTAGGGACTTACTTGTGGAATTGTTTTATGAAACATCCAGGCCTCTATTTGACCAAGAATATCATCTTCCCAGAATAAAAATGGTGGAATGCTATAATGGAAGCATTCTAATGTCAGAAAGCAAGCCAAGGGACATGATGTTTATCCCCATATGACCTTCTTTTTTCCATTTCCTGATTATATAAAGTATAGGCCAATAGAATCAAATGAGATCTTGAAGCTACCTTGCCCAGCAGCTGGTCAAAGGATGTTTAACCATCCTTAATTAAGAATTGCATACTGTACAGAGAGATATACAATTATAGTGACCTATGTATATATACCATACCAGCAAGGCAAACACAAGTGAAGTTGCTCCCATCTTGCTTTTCATTTGCATCAACACAGCTCGCATTGTTCTGGCAGGGTTTCCTCTGACAAGCATCATATTCTTCACAAAAAGTTCCCACATACTGGTCCTCGCAGGTACAGGAAAACGTTGTCTAAAATACAAAAAACACAATGTATGTTACCTGGAACTTCTCAAAAAAGGTATGCTTTGGCAGTGAGACTCAAAGTTCAAAAGCACCACTTCCTTTTTATAGTGAGTAATCTAATCATATCACTAATGTCATAATCTGGTTAAAGTCATAGTCATAAGAGAAATGGTATGTGTTTCTTTACAGCTTAATTTCAAACATGTATTTTTACATTTCTTTATTCATATTTATCCCAACCATTTTCAATCTTCCTAAAACAGAAATGGAAAGAACAGCTTGGTTTAAGCTAAAATTGATGTTTTGCTGACCGGACATGGAAGTGGCAATCTTGCTAGAGTAGACGATATATTGTGCTATATCCATCCACTAAATTAGATGTCATTCCAACAAATGAAAATCTTTCATCATAGATAGTGTTTGCAACAAAATTGCCATCAATATCCTACTCAGACCATCCATCCAGAGCATTAAAAAAATATACAGAATCACTCTATAAACTGGCCTCAGTGTACAGCCAAGCAGATTACCTGAGTACAAGGGAAAATAAAGAATATGATTCAAGTAACCATTTTTTTGGTCTATCATATTAACATTATCTTAGTAAAAGACCATAATGTGGAGAATTGAATCTGAGTTAAAGCTTCATTTCTGAAATAGGTGTAAAATTCAGATAAAACTAGACTTTACTCCTCCCTTCTTAATGCTGGCCTGAGGGTAGACACATGTCTAAAATAATCACAAATCTGACTCCAAGGCTTATGCAAAGTAATATAGACTATTACAGAAGATATTTCATGAGGGAGAGAAGAGGGAGGCAAAGGAGAATGGCATTAGCAACCTTAAAACTTAAGAAAATCAAAACAAAATCACCTTTCCCAGATCTCTCCCCAAGCCTGCACATCAGGCAGGGTTAAATCTCTACCATTCACACCATCCCTTCTTGTTCCCTGCCTTTCCTTGGTCCAGTCTCTTGCCCCTAATCTTCAAGAAAGACCCTCCTCTTCAAGTATTGGCAACATGATCTCTGCCCGGTACCCTATAAGCACAACCTGGTACCTGTCTTCCTCCTGAAGGAGCAAAAGGTCATCTATTTTTCTCTTTAGTATGTTTTTGTCTCTTAATCAGGTTTTACAGTTCTTGTACATTTCTTGATAAATTTACTCTTGTGTATTTATACTTTTTGTAATTATTGATAATAGTATCGTTTCTTCATCCATTCTTGTAATACCCATCATACTTGCTAGTGATTATTACATATGTATAAAATGCTAGGATTTTGTTACCAGTCATTATACTGAGCTTTCACTACAGATCAGAGCTTTCAGTTAAGTCTCACGTATTCAAGACAACACAAAAACAAATAATAAGTATTAAAATAATAATCCTATATCAATTGCAAATAATAATATCACCAACTCTTCCTCAGTTTTTGAGGTTACACTGACAGTTCTTTCAGGATAATTTTGACCTCAAGGGGATGTTTGTAGAATTTTCCAGAAGTAGAATGCTGAAATTATCATTAAATTGTATCAAATGCCATTTTAGCTCCTGTAGAAATTATCTATTGTTTTCATCTGTGAGCGATTATTACATAATTGAGTGTCTAGATTTCCTAGTATTAATTCAAACTTATGTTCCTGGAAGGAACATCCATTTAGATCATTATGTAAAATGGTTTTAATATAACATCCATTTAGGTCATTATGCAAAATGGATTCTATTAGTAGTTATACTTCTAATGCCTTCTATCTCACTCTCTCCTCAACAGACTTCTTTTCAAAGAAAAACACTGTCCCTTGCAGAAGAACATTTTTTTGTGTGTTTTGTTTTGTTTTTGAGTCAGAGTCTCACTCTGTTGCCCAGGTTGGAGTGCAGTGGCATGCTCACAGCTTCAGCATCGACCCACTGGGCTCAGGCAATCCTTCTGCCTCAGCCTTTCATAAGTAGCTGGCACTATGGGCAGGAGCTACCACACTTGGCTAATTTTTTGGTATATTGTAGAGGCGAGTTCTCACCAAGTTTCCCAGGCTGGTCTCAAACCCCTGGGCTCAGGCAGTCTTCTAGCCTCAGCCTCCCAAACTTCTGGGATTACAGGCCTGAGCCACCATGCCTGGCCCATGTTTTCACAATAAAAGGATGCCCCTCACAACAGGTGACTGAACAAGAAGTATGCAGACCCCGTCCTCAGAAACCAAGAGAACAGACAATAAAATACGGTGTTTAATTCAACCAAACTGCCAGAATTTATATAGGTGTGTTTCTTCTGTTAACTGAATATGTTTTTGTTAAGAAAATATGACAAGTCCTTGTAAGCTGCATAATTAAGTCTCCTCTAGCTTAAGAATATATTCTTTAACTATATCTTAGAAACTACAACAATTGGAATAAAAGAAAAACCTATATTCTTAAGTGAAAGCTATATTTTCTACCTTCTATTTCTATTATCTCTGAGAAGCTTTTTGTGAGGTAAATGATAATGCCCTCTTAATTCTAACAATAGGTTGATGACCTATCTGGTTTTTCATCACGTTGCGAGTTTTTCCTTTTGAGTGTGTTTGCATAGACTTTGTACATGGAACCTGAGAGAAACTGCAACAAGGACTGATAGAAAGGTATCACTTTTAAAACAGGAAACTCCTTTTTCTAGAAGTGTCTTCTAAGGAAAATCTTGTCCTTGCGCGAATGCTCAACCAAGTACACATTTCATATTTGCAGGAGTTGTGTCTGGAGCGCTTTGTGCGTTGGAAGATTTGTGACTGCCTTTGAAATCTAAATGTTGTGCATACCCAACACTCAGTGCATACAATTCCAAAGTGAGTCTCCACAGCATGATAAATTACTATATGGCATTGGTTTTGGCAGCTGCCCTCTAGAATTTACTTGGTCTGTATCCAGACGTTCCATACTGCAGATAAATGTGCTTGATTATTTGAGGGATATATTAAGCAAGTAATTCATCCAGTAAGTTCCATGGAAAATATGTTGCTTGTGAAAATAAATTATTAAAAGCCTCAAATCAAATATCTTCGAGTTAGCTTTAATTGAATTTGGAACTAAAACAGAAACCACACATTTTGTTTTGCTTTATTATAAGCAGGAACCTTAAAAGAAACTTTAAGAAATTATGGAAACAACTGCTTTTGGCAAGGCAAAACATTGAATTTATTCTTAAATTTTGATTGATGGATGAAAAAGGGGATTAGCAAATGTTTACATATTCATGACCATAAAATTTTAGTTAATTTTTGTATATTCTCCATATCATCCATAAAGTTAAATTTCTCCCTAAGTTTATTTCTAAAAACAAAGAGTTTTCCTATAATATTAAAAAGTTTGTTTGATGGTTTCAAGATTATTGTCTTGTAAGAGATCGTGAATGTTTATTATAGGAAACTATGTTTCTTACCACATTTTTTTGTGGAAACTGTCTGATCACTGAAAGTTGTGAACTGTTATACCAAACTTGAGACACTTAACTCACAGCCTAAAATATCACTAATCTAGGTTCAATTAATGCAGCCATCAATAAGAGACAAAATAAACTGACAAAGTAAAATCAGTAGCTTAACTAAATTATAGAAAGATACTTCCTTGTAAAAGTATTACATAAGTATATGTAAAAGTATTTTTCAGGTAAAATGAACAGTGACTCACAGAGATTAATTTTAAAACCCAATACGGAATCTCAATTTTCCTCAACAGCTTGAAGTCAAAGATTCCATTTGTACATTAATGAAATTTTCTCAGTCAGTGGCGGGAAGCTGCAGTCCCAGTTGCTCAGCAGGCTGAGGTGGGAGAATTGTTTGAGTCCAGAAATTTGAGGTTGCAGTAAGCTATGATCACACCACTGCACTCCGGCCCAAGTGATAGAGTGAGACACTTCTCTAATTTTAAAAAGAAAGAAATAATTTACAAAAGAAAACTTCTAGGTCAAAATATTTCAGTCATACATGCATTCATTTGTTCACCCATTCCACAAGTATTTATCAAGCACATACTATGTGCCAGACACTGTTTTAGGAACTAGGGGTCACAAAGTGAACTAGACGCTCCCATGGAGATTATATTCTACTGTGGGTGACTGGAGATAAGCAAAGTGAATAAGAAAATGGCGTGGTAAATTAGGTTATAATCACCATAGGGAAAAACAGAGAAAGCCAAGGTTGGAGGTGGGAGGGAATGGCTGGTTATGAAGGGTAAAATTTAAAACCTTCTTGAGGTGACAACTGGGCAAAGACTTGCTGGAGGTATAGGAGTGGTTGTGGAAGTATCTGAGGAAAGGTATTCCAGGTAAAGGGAATACCCAGTGCAAACACTTCAAGGTGGAGATGCCTCGCATGTTCAGGAAAGATCCAGAAGCCAGTGTGGATAGAGTAGAACAAATGACGGAGAGAGTAGTGGAATATGAGAAAAGAGAAGTCACTGGGTGTGGGATCAGATCATGCAGGGCAGCAGTTTTCAACTAAGGGCTATTCTACTTTCCAGAATACATATGGCAATGTCTGGAGATATTTTTGGTTATCACAGCAGGGAACTTGCTACTGGCATCTAGTGTATAGAGTTCAGGGATGCTGTTAAATGCCCTACGAGGAACAGGACTGGATAATAGCAAGAAATTATCTAGTCCCAAATGGCAATGGTGCCAAGGCTGACAAACCCTGATTTAAGGCCTTATAAACCACAGTAAGAACTCTGGCTTGGTATCACATTTTGGAAAAGACAGTTCAAGTGTCAAAAAATTCCCCAAAATGCCCTGTACACAGTAATATTGCTTTACATTATAATACCTTGTTTAATTATTATAGTTTATTTTGTTCAGATAATATCTAACCCTGACCATAAGTAATCCCACAGCCATCTCAAAGCAAAAGTTGGATGGTCATTTATTCAGGTAAGTTCAGGTTTTTTCAGTTTCTCAATTTTCATTTATGATGTCAGTCCCACCATCTTAGGTGACCTTCCAAGTATGACAGGGGTCTTTATTCAGTTTTACAGAATAACTG